AGTATATATATATATAATAAATCTAAATTGAATATAAATCTTCGGATGAGGAAAATGAAATAAGAAAATATACTGGCCTCAACGTAGAGGGCGTGTGATTACCTAAAAATTTCCCCAAACATCCAACAGGCCTATCATCAGTGCCACATCCCTAAAAATAGACCAACAAAAATTCCCAGGGAATTAATCTTACGTCGCATGTATAAAAATCAGTGGCATTTCACCTGAAATTGTTTGAAATATATATCTTTACAATTTCAAATGTAAGTCAAATTTTTTTTGTATCACCGTTGAATTGGTTGCAAAATGCTAGGCCTACCTAGTCCTAGGCCTAAGCCTAGTCTGTTTTCTCTCTAGGCCTAGCTAGGCTAGGCGAGCCCTCTTGTTGAATTGCACCGTCAGCAAATTTTATCAGGAACATGACACTACTACTTACCAGGCAGGCCCTGGTCTAGGGCCTAGCTAGACCCTCATTTTCATATTTCTAGGCCTAACTATACTGTTACTATCATCTTCTAGTTGTTCATAGTTATTTTGAATATTGCTGTACAATCTAGCTAGGCCTACATACATTTTGGGAGTTAGGGTCGTAGCGGCCGCGCTCAAAATGTATGGAACGCCAGCAGTAGCGCTATACCGATTGATTGGGATACGGTACGGTATACCGTTGGTCAGTAGCGTTCATATCGTACTCGTCAATTCTAGTATTCACTCAGTTTTATTTGAACAGGCAGTGTTTCGAAATGAAGAGAAATCAATGTATAATTTTCATAATTGAATATTTTTTATTTCTCGTAGTCTTCTTGGCCCTGGTTAATTAAAGATCGATTTGTTTACAGATTGATTACAGATCGAAACATTTTTGTACGTACATGACAATTGAATTACGATATGATTAAATTAATATTTATTATATGTTATCATTTCGGATTTTTACGTATAATGAACTTTTATTTTATATTTCTTTCAGGACACAAACGGATTCAAACATGAGATCTGTCAATACTAAATTTACAATGTAATAAAATATGATGAACGTGAAAAACATAGGTCTACACTTAGTGATACTGTACATTGTCATTATTATTATTAATTTATTATTATTACTATTATTATTATTATTATTGTTATTATTATTATTATTAATTATCAATCATCTTTTCTTCAAATGCACTGACAAACAGATGTTCATTCGCTAAAGAACAAACTGAACACAAGTTAGTAAAATTTGAATAAATAAACTAAAGAAGCGATTTAAAAAGTACCATCCATTTCTGTAAGAAAATAGGCATACTATAAATCATAATATTTGATATAATAAATAAACAAACTAACTAAATATATTAAGTCTTGATTTATATAGGCTAAATATAAATTATGAAAGAAAATATACATTAATTTGATAATTGATTAAAACAGTATTTATATCTGTCCGTTGTCCAACATACATTTTGCTGCATGCTTGGCGCTCCATACAAATTGCTGCGTATCGACTCGCGGCCGCTTTCCCTCGTGGCCACTCCGACCATGCTCCCATTTTGGTCGCCGTCTGCTAAAGTTAATTTTTATATCAAATAGTATAACAAATAATCCTAATATAAGTTTATAATTAATAATGGGCTAACCATGATGGGGGCCTAGGCTAGGCCTAATGTAAATTTATTTATTACATGGGTCATTGGAACAACTTTCCTGTAGCAATTCACAATTTTAATATTCTGAATGTGGTTTAAAAAATGTTTCGTGTAGAAAATATTTGTACAGTATTGTAGTTTACTTTACAAAGTGGCTATGCTTACGCCGAGATGTAGTGCAACATAGCGAGAGTTATTTTTAACGCAGTATCTATGCTTATGCTATACGTAAAAAATGTAATATAACGTAATGATATAAGGCTGTTTCATTGACAAGTCAAGCTTAACCTGCTCAGCATAATCTGATCTATTGTTTTGCAAATTCTTTCAATTTTTTTCTTTAGTATCCATATTATTAACATTGTCTTGTTGGGTGGTCTCTATAAAAAAAAAAAAAAACGAAGTTCAATCATTAAACCAATTGGTTTCTGGACAAAACAGCAATAAACAAAAACGGCAATACTGTAAGTCAAAACGGCAATGACCAAATCGGAAAAGACCAGAACGGTCATAGACCAAAACAGCAATAAGTCAAAATGGCAAGACCAAAACGATACTAAACAATTTATGTCATAAAAGTAAAGTCGCGAAAAAATAAACAAATTATAAACATTGAAGTGCAGTTCGATTAAATACGGTAAAATGAGTCTAAATAGTAGCAGCAATCATTAACAATATAATTATAATAATAATAATAATAATAATAAAAATAATTATACGAATTCAATACTAAAAAGATTGAGGGGGAGGGGGGAGAACAATATAAAAGCAGTAAAACATTTAAACAAATAAAATTTTCAAATACAGACAATGAGGCTAAACAATTTATGTCATAAATGTAAAAAAATGTGAAATAATAATAATAAACATTAAAAGTGGGGAAAAGAGCCCATGGCAATATTCAATTTGCCTATCGGGACATTCAAAAACGATTCAGAAAATTATAACTGTGGCCCGCTAGCATTTGCTATAGTCTTGGCATTGATTTCACTCCTTTGCCATTTTTGTCTATGCCGTTTTTGTACTCGTCATTGCCGTTTTGGTTCATTGCCATTTTGGTTATTGCCGTTTTGACCTGCTACCAACTCCTTATCTTGATAATCTGATAATCAACCTATGATGAAAATCATTTATCGATTTTCAGTAGCAAAACTCCCATAGTAGGCACTCACATTACCATGCGTTAAAAATAATTTTTGTTTTACAATGTGTTGTTTACATACTTTTTTCCCAGTTTTTTTTTATAGAATATTCCTTGGGAGCTTTTTCCTCAAGGTGACTGTACTTTTGAGATGACCCAGTCAAGTGTGCACCAGCAGGAAGAATTATGTGATTCGCAGATAAAGAACTCTGCCGGAGGCTTTGTATGGAAAGTAAAAGATATTGACAGACTCAGGCGGTTTCTTTGTCTTGGATCAGCTAACGGTACATTTTATGTCAGAGATGAAGAAAAGTTTGGGGAAGAATCTGTGAAGGCTGTCACTGATCTGATCACATCTGGGAAGGGCGAAGTTGTTGTAGAAGAGGTGGTGAAATACAGTGTGGAAGGCCGAGTGGCCAAGCCTAATCCCCTGCTTTTAGTACTTGCACTGTGTGCACGCTGTTCAGACACAAATACGAAAAATGCTGCCTACAATGCTCTGTCTCAAGTTTGTCGCATTCCCACGCACCTATTCCAATTTATTGACTATTGTGAGCGACTAAGTGGGGAATCGAGCGGTTGGGGCCGAGCTCATCGCCGTGCAATTAAAGCCTGGTACCTGGATAAGGACCCACAGAAGCTGGCCTACCTGGTGACAAAATACAAGAAGCGAGGTGGCTGGTCTCATAAGGATGTTTTAAGGCTGTGCCATATTAATCCATCTGCTCAAGAAGGTAAAAAAGATTTTTAGTAATATGACACACAAGAAAACTTTGACAAAAGTATAAAATACAGTCATGAGAATGCGATAACGGGATAATATTAATTGTAAAATATAGAAATTTTATTGCAATTAAGTAACATTTTATTTTTAGTATAGTTGTTTTTTATATCTTCTCAAACAGTAATTGAAATTTACATTCAGTAAAACAATAGTACAAGTAAATAATTAAATGTAGAAGTAAAACACATGTGGCTATATTAATTTACATTTCATTTAGTAATAATTAATAAGATCTTGAATTTATGTGGCAAAACGTGTGTGAATAGCTACCAGAAAACAAATAGGTCTTAAGCTGTGACTTAAATTTGCAAAGTTAGAAGAAGTTATGTTATTTGGAATCTGGTTCCGAAAAAAGGTAGAAGTATAGTGAAAGAACATGGGCCGTAGGTTTTGGTACAGTGCATGGTGACAGAAAGAAATTTTTGATAGGATGAGCGGAGATGGCAAGCTGGAGTACAGACAAAGGCATAAATTTGCTAACTTGTATATTGTTTTTACAGGGATTGATGCCGTCTTTAAATACATCTTCAAAGGATTTGAAGAAACGAGTAGGCTTTATGCTGAGAATGAGAATGAAACGATCAAGGATGTTATGAATTTCCTAAATGCGGTTGAGACTGTCAAAAATTCAACGGATACAGTGACAGTAGCAGCCTTCATTGAAGAACACAAACTAGTGCGAGAGCATATACCTACAAAGCTCCTCAAATCTACAGAGGTATTTAGTTAAGCCAAGATATCTTGGTATATAATATAATAATATGTTAGATTTATATAGCGCTTAACACTAACGAGGCCTCTAAGCGCTTCACATTACTACCCCCAGTCATTGGATTAAACGCCTATGGAACACAAACTCAAGCTCCCTGAGGGAGTATTCCATAAAGTTGCAGCAGCTATATCAGCGTATTTTAGCATTTAACCCTACCAGGTACCCATTTATACTCCTGGGTGGAGAGAAGCAATGTAGATAAAGTGCCTTGCCCAGGGACACAAGGGAAATGTACAGCAAGGGGATTGAAACCCCGACCTCGGGGTTGGGAATCCAAACCGTTCCCACTGCACCAAACTACTTCAAATACTCTATGCATGTTTACTGACAGCTACGTATCTGGAACCTCTTTCTCAACGTGTTCATTCCTAACAGAATTTTAATCTCTGAGGAAACCTGCAGCTCCCTGCCAGTATATTTCCCTCTTCCTTATCCCTATCCTGTATAGCTCCCTGAAAGAAACAAGCATATTACTTTAGAAAAATCAATCTTTTGAATCTCAATAAACCACATGGAATAGATTTGAAAATGCCTTAAGCATTGTGAAGGATTAAGTTGTTTTGTTACTATTGTGTTCTTTTATAATAGGTGTGGGGGGCACTGTTAAAAGAAATGCCAATGACAGCGATGATCCGCAACTTGGGCAAGATGACCAGCATCGGGATGTTCACACCCAACTCTCAAGAAGTCACGATTGTAGTTGAGAAGTTGAGGAGCTTGGAAAAGCTCAAGTTGGCCAGGATCCACCCATTTACGGTACTACTAGCCCTAAAGACATACAAAAGTGGAAAGGGTGAAAAGGGAAAATTAATCTGGACTCCAAACTCGCGCATTTTAGATGAACTCGAATCAGCATTTTATCTCTCATTCAAGGTAATAGTGCTATCACAATCTGTAAATTATCACAATCTGTAAATTATAATGGCAAATTGTAGAATCATTAACTAATATTGTGATTTTTTTTTTAATTTTATCATCATTTATATTGTCATCACGACTTTGTTGTAGTACAACAGGGATGGGCATAATAATCGGTCGGAGAGCCAAAGTGAATTTTTTATTAAACACTGTGGGCCGCACCCAAACTTTATGTTTTCAGTGTGCTTTGAAAAACCTCCAAACATTGCTCCCAGTTTTAAAAGTACTTTTTACAGATGATCGGTGTCGGGCCTTAAAATCCTGCCAATGTTGCTTGGCGGGCCGCAAACATATGGTTTTTAATTCATTTTCGCAGGCCGCATTTTGCCCACCTGTGTTGTATAATAATATATGGTTGGTACATTCAGCAATAAATATGTGTTTTTGTCTATACATATATTGCACATATGTATAGTACTTCAGTGATTAACATTTGCCTACTCAAATCTTATACTATTTTTTTTTTTTTGTGAATTTGCTCATACCCATATTGCTTTTTCTTTTTTCATATTTTAGGCTGTTGAACCCACAAGGAAACGTTATATGCTAGCAGTGGATATAAGTGGCTCGATGTCCTTTAGCGGTATTAATGGCTCCCAAAATATGACTGCCCGTGAAGCTGCAGCTGCAATGATAATGGTAACGATGAAGACGGAATACAACTATCAAGTCATGGCATTCGCCAATGAGTTTAGAAATATCACACACATAATGCGAGGCAGATCCCGATTGGAAGAAGTTATTGCAGCAATGACTGATGTATGTTTATTATTATCATTATTATGATAGTGAAATTTTTAAACACGTCACATTGTCCTCCATTTTCAAATGGTGTTATTAACACATGCTCATTTGTAATGCCAACATAGTTCATTATCATATGGTAACATCATGGGAGCAACATATGTGGTTTTCAGTAGTTCTTCTGCACCCTGATTCCTGGCCTTGGGCAGTGTGGGATTATAGTAACCGAACCAGTAAATTAAGAAAACTTATTTTTTCAGGCATCATATTCATGATCTGAATAATTAAAAATTTATAATTTCAGAATTTATTTGCTGTGATATATAAATTGGTATAAATTATTGTTATAATAATAATCTTTATTAGAAACTTCACTTTTAAAACAGTGGCACACGATTACGGTGCGTTCATAACAGTATAACATACAACATATAATCAAAAATAAAATAACAAACGGTAACAAATAAATTCAAATACAGTAACACTTTTTTTTCCAGGCCTACTACTCATTTCTATAATTATTATAAAGTACCAGCTATTCCCTTACATTATCGAAGGACTGCATTTTTACATGGCACACTTTGATAATATCAACTTCATACATTTTTTTATGGTAGCATTGTTTACAGTGTGATATTATATGGACAATTTTTCAGAAACCAGGACATGAAACCTTCTTTTTGATTTGTTTATTTGCAGATGCAAATGGGTAGCACTGATTGCTCAATACCGATGGTTCATGCTATGGAAAATAACATTCCTGTAGATGTCTTCATTGTTTACACTGACTGCGAAACGTACATGGGGTCGTTACATCCATGCCAGGCTCTGGAAAACTACCGGAAATTAATAAGCCAGAAGCAAAATGACCCTTCCCTCAAGAAAGCCAAACTGATTGTCGTCGCTATGACGTCAAATGGTTTCACGATCGCTAACCCAGAAGATCCCGGAATGCTGGACATTGTTGGCTTTGATTCAAATGCTCCTGTAATAATGAGTGAGTTTGCTCTCGGTAGTTTGTCCGGGGACGACTAGAGCAGTTGGTCTGTAGTCGCATATAATTATGTGATTATAGGTGAGCCAGTATTAATCTCTAATACATATTGGATTTATGTAAACATGCTTATATGCATCCTAATGATTAGATCTCTATCCCATGTTCATGGGATTGACAGAACCATAGATTTGGTACCGAAAAACACCAAGAATAATACTTATAATGATGCTGAAAATATCTTTTTTTTTGTGGCCACACTAGTAAAATCAGGTAGAATAGGCCCTTGTTTCTCTATTTTTTCTCATCCTCAATTTTAAGGCAACCCAAGCCCTACAAAGCATAGCCAGCAAATTGGGAGTGGAGTTGGGTATCTAAGGGCCTGTTTCTGCTGAGCAAAAAAAATTTGTTTTTAACTTTTATTAAAAAACACATGTTTTTTTCCCCAGTAGAAACGGGCCACAAAACAAAAACACAGTTAGGAATGTGTTCTAAAAATACACACATTCATTATAGGGTTCACGTTCAGAAAATGTGTGTTTTTGTGGTACACTTTTCAGCTGCAACGCAATACCGTGTTAGTCATGACCCGTCGGTGACCCAAATTGACCTCTTCATTGGTTTGATCGCTCACCCGCGGGAAATTCAGGGCGAAGAAAAAAATTAAAATAATAGGAATGACATGCTTGAAGATCATACTATACGCGTTCAGAAGGAAGTATATAAGTATATAAAGTTAAAAGATGTGATTTACTGTAAAGGGCTTATTTTCATTTAAACTTTCAATGTTTCTGTTCATGCACTTCAGACAAAATTTGGTTTAAGTTGTATAAATACATCTTTGGAATCCATGTAAAATGGCTGCAAGCAACCCTTAGCAAACTCAGTAAAAAAAGACATTTAAAAAAATGTGTATCATAAAAATAATATCACATTATTTATACTTTTCATTTATTCAGGCAACTACCAAATTTTTTCAACAAATAAAGGCCACTGGCCCAGGAGGCCGTAAGTGTGCAGTAACAACAACAATAATATGATTAATATATATCATTAGCCAAGCGCTTAAACTCTATATAGAAACTTCTGTTATTTTTGCGATTGGTCATCTAAGGACACCAATCATTTCAAGTCCAGCCTCAATAGTAGTTGATGTAACTATGTATTTATGGTCTTTGACATGCTTGCAATGTAAGATGTATTGTATTTTAGTAGCTTCTGTCTGATAAAAAGGACTATTGGATCTAATGTTTATTATGGTAACAATTTTTACCATAAAACCATAAAACCATAGAACCATAAAAGTGAAAACAAATGCTTTATGTGTACATGGTATAACTATTAAGGAATATAATCAACTGACCACAGAAATCACTGGATGTGGTTTTTTTTTTAGGAACCTTGGTGCACATATTAAGATATATATGGCAGTGCTTATTCATCTGAGCCATGCCTGCTAACCAGTTGGGGTTTCAAAAGTCACTGTGTGCATTTCTGGTGTCCTTGGGAAAGAGTCTTACATTTGTCTTTTTCTACCCAGTAGTAGAAATGTACACCAGATTGTGTTGGGAAAGTAAACAAACTTCTTATGTGGGAGGAATGGCAAATCCCCTTCCCCCAGAGCATTGCGTTGCCTGTGAGCTCAAACCTCTGGGTTTAATTTTATTTTTTTGCTAGCCTAAGCCCTGCGCAGACTATCAAAATTTATTTGACAAAAACATGTGACATGCCTAAATATGGTCATGATGACATCACATCATGACCATATATAGCCATACAACAATCTGATAGCCTTGACAGAGCTTTATTTAAAGCTGTACTTCATGACTAATGAAATATATAGAAGCTTGGTCTATAAATATTTTTTAATTAAAAATTAAGCTGTACTTAATGGCAACTAATTAAATTTTAAAGTATATTGTAATATTTCTGTCATTTTAAAATTTTGGAACATTTTGCAATATTGAAAACATATTATATTATGATGGTAAAATATTGGATATTCCGAATCTACAGTATCTGACCCATCATACTTTATGAATGATTTAAATTTGGATAATCATGATATTAAAATTACAACCATAGAGTGGTATGTGTTGAGGTGTCTCAGTTGTGAGGCAACTGAATCTAATATTATGATGAAATGGCAGCCTTTAAACTCCAAAGATGTACCAGTAAAAGGGTGTAAGTTCCTAAATTATTAACATTTAAAAATTCCTATATTTACAGCACAGAATGTATCTATATTTTACTGATTTGGTGGACAACATATTCATTTTTTTAAACCCAACTCATCCTATACTACTGTGGTTGGAATCAACCAGCCTCAGGGGTTGGGATGGAGGAGGGGCTACATAACTTCAATAAGGAGTATGTGACTATAACTATTTTGGGTGCTCTCTTTTATTCATGTTTTTTAAAACTTATTTTACCTATATAATGATGGTTGTAATCATTTAGCTACAAGTGTTGGGGAGGGAAAATTAACTAATATAAGCGGTTTGGCGCAGCGGGAACAGTTTGGTTTTCCAACCTCGATGTGCATTTAACTTGTGTCCTTGAGTAAAGCACTTTATCTGCATTGCTTCTCTCCACCCAGTATAAATGGGTACCTGGTGGGGTTGCCTGCTCCTGCACCAATATGGCAGCAACACTCAAGCATGTGGACCCAAATGACCAGGGAAAAACTTACAGCACTACCTGACTGAAAGGAAAAGCGTTAATTAATGTAATAAGTATATGGCTGAAATTATTTTTTAAAAGCTGCTCTTTACATGATAGATCAATAAGATCAGACTTCTCAAGTTAGTAAACTGCATTTCAATAACCAAGTCTTCAAATATCCGTAGTAAATAAAACATTTCCGTAGCACCTAATAATTTGTCTTGGGTGAAATATATTAAATTACAGATACAGGATAATAACAGTTGTGGAATTTTAATAGAAAGAGGACAGGATGAACTTTACAGGCCACTTTTTCTTTTCACAATAACTTATCATTCATCAGACAAATATTTATTTGTTCTAGACTTTAGACCTATTTATTTATGGGTTTACGCCTATGATAAATTTTCTTAGTATTTTTGTCTATTTCCGTACGTACGTAATTAGGTAAAATTTCCGTAGCAACTACGAAAGTTCCATAGTATGTGAGTAGTCTCTACGATATATTAAATGATTAAATAATTTCATCTGGTGTTGTTGATAAGATTATTATATTACAACTAAGTCAGCTAATACAATAATATTTGAACTTGGTCTTAAAACTGATTATATGTTTATCACCCCATCTGCATTACTTTTAATGTTTTTTTTTATTTTCAATTATTTCATGCTTAGTCTAGTGTAGTCTATTCCAACATTGTATTGAAAGTTGAAATACATAAAATGTTTGGACAAAAGTATGTATTATGTGCAATGCGATTACTCTGATTTTGTCCTATTACCATCGATTACAAAAGTTAAAATAAAAACAGCAAAGAGGGTTTAAGGGCGATATTAAATCTAATAATTGTGTTTATGAGCCTAAAGTAAGTTGTTGGATACACTGGTTCCTGATCAGTGGTAATATATGCATATGTTTATAAATATAATTTTCTATAAAATATTTCTATTGTTTGAATATTTGTAGCAGTGGAGGTGCCTTTTAGTTGTGTTATAAAGTGTTCTATAATTGATCCTTGGAATACAAAAACAGGGGATAGGGGCTCCTAACAAAATAGAAAAGAAAAGAAAGGAGAAAAAGTGGAGCATGGTACTCGAAAAAAGACTAATTTTCTATTTAAATTCCATGTATCAGTGTTTCTTATCAAGCACAAAAATCTCAAACACCAACTAAACCAGGTCCCCGCCCCAAAATCAGAATTCAGTTTTGTCCCCTGTAATTAAAATATTGGAACTGCTCTAGATACTATTGTAGGAAATTCCAATTAACATTCTGATGAGTATTGTTTATTTTGGTTGATTGAAGTGAAAAAAAAAAAGGATAGAATTCTTTTTAGTGCACAACTGATAATTTTACTATTTTAAGAACATTTCTTTCTGTTATTAATTCTTCAGTACTTTTACTGATGTAATGTTGTTAGTACTTTTTGCATTGCTTTGACTGTTGTCAAACGCATTTACAAATTGTAATTATTCACATTAACTATTAGAATTTTTCTTATTTAATCATTATCATGATTACTATCCATAATAATAGATTTATGCCTAATTATAATTCATTCAAAATTTGTACATATTATGAGTGAATTGAATAAATATACTGAAAGTAATTAGATTGGTGTTGTCTTGAAATAACTTGGCAGAGTCTAGTTATACCAGTCTATAAACAATTGTAATTCTGATTGAATTAATGGATTAGATGGATTCGATCAGAATTATGAATTCATTTAAGACTGGTGTACCTATAACCACTGTCATAACCTTTTATGGTAGAGCTCTGACTTTGGGATTCCTTTAAAGTCAAAATCAGTTGTATAGCATATCTAAAAACAGGGGAAAATCTTAACACACTATGGCCAACCAAACCCTGTATTTCAGTTCCAAGAATCTAACCTAAATAAAAACAATTTCTACATTTATGCACACATAATACACACTTAAAATTTCATTTCAAATATGAAATGTGTATGCTGAGCTAATTGCCTTTGCTTGGTCTTCACTCCACCTCCATGCCAGTTTAGGCCTAAATTCCTTCTACCTAAATGTTCACAGAAGTCTAATACTGTACAAATATTCATTCTAAATCTTGTGTTCACATTACAGTACAGTATTTCACAAACAAATAATATGCACAGTACTTACAAATGTTAAGCTTGCTAATATGGCTCCAGGCAATATGCAGTACACCAAGCATCTGATATACCTTGTCTTTTCTTTATATTCTTTGTTTTATTTGCATACATTATGTAACCATCAATTGATTTAAATGCCATAGTGGCTGCTTCACTTTATTTGTTTTCACTTGTGAACATCTTAGCTGGAGGCAGTGGTGATACCATTACCAAATTTGCAAAGCTTTTTTGCTTCACATTATGTCCCAATAAATATTTTAAACATAAAGATATTTTCTTTTTTTTGGTATGATTCAAGTTGACTGGGGGTTGGCCTGTCCGATGGGGACTTAATCCCACTGCCCCAGTCTTCAAATTCAGCCTACTTCTTTTAAAACAGGTTTTTCAGACAACTTTTCTGAACATGTAAGTGGAACTCATTACCAAATTATGTTGCATTTGCAGTCAATTAACCAATTTACAGTACTACCTATGAACCTGCAAAAACAACCTATAATTTGAACTGGTATGAGAGACCATGCAAAAGGGACTTAATAAGCATCGCTTTGAGGCTCTACTCAGTGGCGGAGGATCTACTCAGCGGTGGCCTTGGGTTATATTTTCTGGGTGGACTAAAGCTGTCTGACAGTGTCTGATGGGGGGGCTGACTGAGATAAGGCTAACTAACAATCCGAGGGCCATATGCCCTACCCGAGGAAATTAGATTTTTTTTTTGAATATGGACCTCTGGATGGCCAGAAAGGACACTCCCATAGTCAGGCATTTCCGGCCATCTGTTGGCTTGACGTAGGCCTATTTTTATTTATTTTTTGGTCAGACTGCCCGATGAGCTCTAGTCTGTGGGAGGAGGTCTTGACCTGTCAGATGGTGGGGGTGGGGGACTGCCACTGTGTCTACTATCAAGTAAACAAGCACACTTAATATGTTGTTAACAATAAATCAAAAATGACGGGTAACAAAATAAGATTCTCATTTCTTTATTATAATAATTACACATACATTCACATAACACTTGTGTAAAGCTGGACTTAACATTTCAAGTTCAGATAAAGAAAATGTTGAGGCAAAATCAATTTTTTTTCCAACCCAGATGGATGGAGTAAAATGAAAATGAAAAGCAAAGTACAAACAGAAAGAAAACTGTTTCAAAATTATTCCATTTGATATAAAATAGAAACAAGCAGAATTGACCATCGATAAACACAACATAAATGGCGAGTATTTCAGTTAAAACAAAATTGAGAGTATTTGAATGAAGATGATGCAAAACTGATATTATATACACCATAAAGCTGGGAGTGGGGGTAAATTTTTAAATATTTCTATTTGCATCCTTGATTTCTTTTTTTTCTAATGCAGATTAAAATTCCCTCTTCCCAATCCTTTATATGTTTCTTCCTCCAATATTGATCTAAAGGAAGAGCCTAGTATATAACTTCCCAAATGCTCCTCCTTCCTGCAAAGCAACCATTATGTGCTACTGTACAATTACAGAGAATCATGAAACTTCCATGATGCCACCTTTAAACTAATATAAAGCATTAGGCTCTGTGACTACAGTAAAGCCTGTCAACAAAACATACTGCCTTCATAGCCAGGCTCCACAGGGAGAAAAATTATGTTTTACAAATGGATTTCCTAAGGCACTGAATCTGTATCTTATTAACCATTCCCAAAGTTTTTTTCAAAACACCTCTTTAGTGTCTTAAGCTCTGTCAAAATTTCTTTGAAAAAAAACTGTTGTATGCCCATATATTGTCATGATGTTCCTATATATGTTCATGATGTGCTGCATGACCATATTTAGACACGTCACATGTTTTTTCCTTCAGAGCCTGGCTTAAATGAAGACATGGGGAAAACTTTTTTACATTTAAAGCAGTTATGAAATTCTCATTTTGGTGTATCTTAAGGATGAGGTAGCTAAAATGTGCACTTGCTACAGAATCAGGAACCTCACAAAATGTGTTTCCTACAGTAAAAATTCTTGAACAAAAAAATTGTTGTTACACTTTTTTTTGAGTAATGGTAATCAAAAGAAAATGGGTTGATTCCCGGAAATTGTTAAAATTACCATATTTTACAATTTTAAGGAATAAGTATCATTTTCCACACCAAAATATATGACATTTTGTTATGTTTACATTGAAATGATTATTTTACCACTCAGAACGTGCAATTCCTATGTATTTATACACATAATGCAAAAAAAAAAATCTATTGTTAATTTACAAAACAAAGTATATTGGTGGTCAATGTCTGTACACTTATATAGTGTAAAAAATGAATATTAAGGACAGCTTGAGTGTGCATACTTCTACCAAGCAGATACGTAATCAGCCTTTAACAATCTTGTTGATTTTGGTTTAGAAAAATAATTTAAAAACAAATCTATAAAAAAGTTGGCTGGTTGATTGCTATCCTGTACTACCACCTTTAAAATCCCATCCCTTAAGATAAATTCTTAATATCGAACCACAGAGAACAATTACATTTCATATGAATGTCGCTCTCTACAGGAATAATCTTACTTTCCCTCTCAGGAAGAGGAGGTCTTATTATTGTGACAATTTATTATACAGTACTTGTACATCCAAAAAGTTGGGGAATCAAGATTATCTAATTAATTCCAGAAATGAAGAGCTTGGGATGTTCACATAAAAGGCAAGAAAATTAAAAACCCAACCCATCTACACACAGCCAATTTATCATCAATTTGATTTGATCAATTTTTTTTTAATTTGTGTGGGATATCAAACTGAGTGATTGGCATTTCTGTATTATGCAGTTCATTCACTGAAAAAAGATAATACAATTCAGTGAGAATATCATAGTGAAAACAATATTAGGTCAATTATGAGGGGTATACACAAGGAACAAAAAATTAGACAAGTGATTCTTCAGGCCTAGGCCCTAGCTTAGGCTCCCCGGGAGCTCACTTGCATACCAACCAAATAGGGGGTGGCGCAGCCCTACCTATTTTACTGATAATTCTTATGAACTTGAACTACCATTTGTCAAAATCGTACTGTGCTCTAAAAGACGACAGGATAAAGGACGCTCAATAGTGCCAGAGAGGGCGCAATATTGACTGGTTCCCGATGGCAAAAGTGTTCCGTCCGATCGGGATCTCGTAGCTGTCCAAAGGTAGGCTTAGCAAGGGGCTTACTGACTTAGCACCCAGTCTAGCTTGAAATTCCCCCAAACATCGTGCAGAAAATAGTGGCAATTTGACACAGGATAGGTCAGGGAATTTAACTACCAATATCACCCCGGTTATTTCCCACACTTGTGCTACTAAGTCCTCTTAAGTATACCCCATAAATGCTGCAATTCTCCCATATTTCCCACGCTTGTGCTACCAAGTCCTCAAAAATAATATACCCCGTATTAATGCGGCACCTCATATAGAAATATTTAAGGGTAGTCACCTAGGCTTAGACCTTACGAAGGCGACCTAGAGGAAGCTAGGAAAAAACAAAGTCGTCATAGCCAAATTTCTATTTACTACACAGATGAATTCAATCGTTTGGCTTTGAATAATTTTACATAAGAATTACTCAAAAGTGAGGTAATTATAATAGTAAATAATTATAATAATGTCAGAATATTTTTAAAAAGCAGCATGTACATTAATATATAAAAAAAATAAAATAAAGTCATAAATAATAATAGCAATATAATAACAACAGTAAATATAATAATGATAAGATGAACAGTAGTGGCAATAACAGTACAGTAATTATGATTATAATAAATTACATTACATCAGATTAGGCATCTATATACATAGATTATGTTATACAATTTATTAACTATCATTATTATTGTTACAATTATTATACAAACAAAATAATGCATTACAGGGCATACATATGTGAATCATTATTTATATTAAAATTATTAATAATAATAATAAAAATAATAATTTTTGAAAGAAAGGATGTTATTTGGGATGAGCTGAACAAAAAATAGCTAAGAACTCAATCTGTCACATACTTAATACCTGTATTTTAATTGCATTCAAAAAATACTACAAGAAATAGGGTGTCGTAGTCCTGGTCGGTATAACCCTTTCGTTGTCAGGCACGGCACGAAACAGCTTTGGTTCTTTACTATTCGTATCACGAAAGGCCATGATAGATGCTATATTGCCACATCGATAACAATAGTTGGGGGCGCTCCACACAGTCACAAGTTTCTCGTCGAACATATATTTGTAACCTTCATGGACTAGTTGATGCGCTCTACATATCAGTTTTAAGTTGTTTATGTGGACAAACTAAAAAAATAAAAGTTTTAGAACAATGAAATATATTTTTTTTATTAATGTCAATTTGTTTCTACATTTTTTTTTCTCGTTTTTTTAAATTAGCATCAACAGCCACAAAAAATTTAAAAATCCATGTTTACTTCAACAAATCTAAATAGAGTAATCCTAGCAAACTGCTTTACAAAAAATCAATTGTTTTTCACTTCTGTCAGACAAACCTACCTCATTTGTAACCTTTGCCCCAAAAAGCCATCCTGCCCCGCGTGGACTAATTGCCCAAGTGTCAACATCCTCTGGATCTGACCAGACAAGATGTGATGCTACAAGTTAAGAAAAAGATGATAAAATAATTTTTCTTAATAATTCAATATTTAAGTGCAGAGTGTTAGTAATGGGAACTGGATGAAGAAAGTTAAATATTCAAAGGCTTTCAATTTTACATCTTTTTATGAGACTATCATCTGACATCTTTTTATGACAAACATTATCTGACATCTTTTTATGACATAATCCTTTGGCATCTTTATATGACATCATCATCTGATACCCTTTTATAACACTATTATCTGATATCCCTTTATGACATCATCATCTGACATCTTTTTATGACATCATCATCTGATATCTTTTTATGACACATCTGACATCTTTTTATGACATCATAATATGACATTATTTTATATCATCATTTGACATTTCATTTATGAAACATCACTTGTCACCTTTATTATGACATTAATTACCATCATCAACATCTTACATATGACACCATCATCCAACATTTCACTTAATAACCCATCTCATGTTTATTCATAATGCAGCCCATCTCATGTTTATTCATAATGCAGTTATAATGATAAAAAGCATTAAAGGATATCACAAAAGGCACCCTTGTGTGGAATCTCCTGAGCACGCTCAATAGTGCGTATTTGATCCAAGGTCTTGACATCAGGTGACAGTCCACCATGAACACATAGAATTTGCTCATCAATAATCTGTAATTAAAAAAAAACGTAATGCTGTTATCTGATGAAACATACTATAATGGACATTTCCACTAAGACCCACCCCTTGAATATTGTTGCAGGTCCACAGAAACGACAATGTAATAACATATGTAAACATGCATTTATAGACAACATTTGTGTTTGTGAGACTTGCACTTATTCCTTGCCCTGTTCTGATTGGTCAGTTGAGTTTGATTGACACTCCGGAAAGGTCCACTAAACACACAACTATAAAAGATTTTATACTCATGAAGACCAACATGACATGCAGTGTATGTGTTTAGCAATGACAATAACCATGGCACATGCAAGGATTAAAGACAGGACTCGGAGATTAAAAGGTGTACACCAAGCTACTGGTACTTACTGCTGCTACTGTGAGAAGATCAAAGACTTTATTGCAGTACCTCCATGCATTCGCATTACCATATTTTGTTTGACATTCATCTATGTGAAGAAATAGATAAAAAAATCATTTTAAATGCATACAGAAGGACTATAAGAATACTTGCTATCACACAGTCAGCAGATCTGAAAGGGAAACTGGGGTAACATTCCTCATTATTTTGACTGCCATTACTGAAGATCTAGCATGATAGGTTTCATAACAAGATGAAGAAGGCGAAATCCACTGCCACTAATTTTATTGAAATTATTAAGCTCTGTCCAGATTGACAAAAACACTGCTGTATGCCCAAATATAAGCCTGGTTCTCACAAGAGCCCTTGTATCCGGATCGGGAGCTAACCGTTAGCACCTGTGTGAGAACGCCCGATTGGTTAGCGCTAACCATTAGCAGTATCTGGATACCGCTAATGGTTAGCAAGCGCTTTCGGTTAGCAAGTGAGCATGTTTCTATCATTAACCAATCACACGTACGCGTTTACAATTTCCAGTTTCTTATTGGCCAGTGATTCGATCATCATATTTTTGGTATCTGGATCGGGATTTTCTTGTATGGACGCACGCAGCTAACGGTTAGCAGGATCCGGATCCTGCTAACCGTAAGCAGGAGTTGAGAACATATACAACAATTATATTGATGGTTTGGACAGGGCTTAAGATATGCATATGTTCAACACACATGTGGAAAAGTTTAAAACATTTCACGGCATGCAGTAGTTGTGGCCATAAATGAGGCTACATAACAAAAACCAATTATAAGTTGACAGTCCTAAAGATGGTAGGATTACTGTATAATAAAAGTGTACTGTGTGCAAAAAAATATCTGGAAAAACCTAAAAAATTCAATCAAAACATTGATAAGCTCATTTAAATAAATCAAATAAGTTATTAACTTCAAACAAGAAATGGATCAGGAAAACAATGGTCTTCAGAGTTGTCCATATTTTATGACAATATGGCTTTAGCAAAACAGTACGCAACCTTTCCAAAACTTACCATAAAAACCATACACTTGGGTTATTTGACGACTTTCATGGTTACCTCTGAGTAGCGTGATTCTGTCTGGCCATTTGGCTTTGATTGTGAGTAATCGAGTAAGTGTTTCCAAACTGTAATATCCACGATCTACAAAATCACCCTGTAGGCAAAAAGCAGACAGTTTTATTAATACTTACTGGGGTTTACCTCCTGTCAAAAAATACAAAATAGGTAATGATGAAAACTAATCTAGTCTGTCTGATTAAACAATGTTTGTCCATCATCTACCACACTTAATAACTCCAAACCTACAGAGAGTATGAGGGACAAGATTTTTAAAAGTAACCTACCATGAATACATAGTTTGTATCAGGTACCTGCCCGCCGGTTCTGAATAACTCTTCTAAATCGTAAAACTGCAATTAGAAAAAAAGTTAAGCTAGTAAATACAACTTCTATATTTGATTTCATTATCAATTGGTTTGTTTAATTGTTGGTAATAATTTTACCAGCTTAAGAACAATCAAAAGCAGAGTATTCTCAATGATGTAGTAACCACAGGAATGATTTCTGTTTCTTTTTTTTTTTTCTTTTTTTTTGTAATGGAAATCGGACAATTAAGATTATTTTGATTCATATTGACAGTAGAATTTAATTAATTAATCTATTTTATTTCAACAATATTTTGTGAGAGTGGTTAATCAAATAAAGTAAATCATAACGCAAGCCAAACTACCTGTCCATGTATATCACCGCATACTGTGACAGGCGTGCTCACTGGTTGAACATTCGACTCTTCTAGAAGCAGCTCACACACATGCTCACACAATTTCTGCAAAAAAAATCATTTATTAGGCTGTTACTGAGTTTAATATCATGCATGTTTGAATCCCCAATAAATTTATATATGCTTTGATATGAGCCATTTCAATCAGCTCCCGACAGTTTCTGCTGAATAACTATGTACTACTAATAAAAAAAATCATTGTTAGACAGTTAAAATCATACACCTCTGCTGTAAAAAGTACATTTTGCACTCTCCAATGCTATGGACTACTGTAGATCCCTCCCGGAGTCCCAGTCTGTAAAATAACGCCTGCACAGGGAAAATCCCCTGTACAAAAATTAGGCCTAGAAATTCAGAATGCAATCCCTTTCGGCCGTGACACGGTTCGACGACAATATATTTAACACCCAGAAAATTGGAAAATTAAACAATGTCTTACACTATAATTACTTAACAAGAAAGTTTATTAATATTAGGGCCAATAAAAAAAACTATTAGTTTATCATCCTCACGCGCCATGTCTTCTATGGTATGGAATAAAGAAACATAAAAAAAAAAATTTAATTTTCACATTTTTAGTAAATAGTTAGTAGATATTGTTTGTATTCTCAATCATAAATAAAACATGTTTCCCTTCCCCACAGTGTTTATTACTTTCAATACACACATTTAGTATATTTTTTTATCAATATAGGATATTTAATAGTCTTGTGAATCAAAATGACTAAAAACATACAAAATACAAAATGCATTTAATACTGTACACCACGGCCAGACTTCACTGCGGAGCTAGGCCTAAACAATATGTAGCCTAGGCCTAGCCTAACTAGCTAGCTAGGCCTTCTTGGTAGGTCTACACCCTAGCATAAGTCTATAGGAATGCCAGTCAATTCGAGTAAGTGACAGTTTGAATGGATGTCAGTTGTAACAGATGCCAATTCGAGTGGATGCATTTAGTGCGAAATATAACAAGGGCAAATTTATCGTCGCCCTATTCTTGTATTTGTTTGTTTTAAATGCAAAAAGTGCTCTGTGCACTAAAGTTCTGAAATGTTTTTGTTATTTTTTGATAATTATTCCATGTTTGAATTAGTCTTGGCAAATTCGACTACAGATGGCCGCTAGCAAGCCCTTATATTTTAAAACTATAGAATTTCGCATGTTTCAGGTGAATTCACGGTTTTTGACTCGAGTTGGGGTTTTGTATTTGAAAAAGCAAATTATATTTGTAATTGAATTATATAGTGTTGTAACTGTATTTGTAGATTTAAGATTTAGGCCTATATCTGTAAATGGGAGTAACTGTAATTGTAATTGTTATTCACCATACAAATTTAAATTATTTTTACGTATCTAGGGGTCAAAAGGTGCACAAATCATTGGCGTGGTAGTGTAACAAAGGGGCAGATCCAGTAGGGGCACAGGGAGGCTTCCCCCACCCGTTTTGCCACTAAATTTTTAAAATGTCAATAATTTGCTACTCACTTATTTCTGAAACTGTTGTGCCCCCACCCCACCATTTGAAACATTCTGGAACCACCGTCCCCTGTGACAAGATTATCAACAGCACAGTAATAGACATTATACCAATTTTCTCCACTATTCACCATTAGTCTATAGTTCAAAACCCACTTTTTTTAAAACTTAGCATGTGGAAAGAATAACAAGAACGTAGGTATGTTTAATTATAAATTGTTAACCTTGAAAATCAATTAAATAAGACTTTTTCTATACATAAGGCTATGGGCTTCTCCCCCGGAACCCACCGGGGCTTTTCCCCTGGCTCCAGTGGCGTATCTAGATTGTCTTGAAATGGGGGTACTGATCGGGGACCTGAAGCTGAAGTGGGGGGTGTCAATCATCAGTTGGTGGGTGCTAACCCGCAAAATAAGGTGATCTTTAACTACTTGCTAGTGATTTTGGGGGAGCGACTGGGGGGGGGAGCGCAAGTAATTTTTGGAGGGGAATTCCCACCGCACCCCCTAGGTACGCCAGTACCTGGCTCCCAGGCAAAGCTTGAGCCTCGGCCGAATGCAAATTGTTAGCTCAAAATAGGAAATTTTAAAGTAATTCGTACATAACTCGCACAACAAGCTGTTGCTCGCACAAGTGGATCTTTTTTCAGCTGGAACTAGCACCTGCTCGATTCTCGAACTTGCATTCGCTCGAAGTGGCATCCGCACGAATTGACTGGTTCCCGTCTTCAGTAGTAGGCCTAGGCATTAGTTAAGCCAGAATCAGTCATGACTAGGCCCCAGAAAGTAGTACTACACTAGGGCCTACCTATACCATAGGCCTAGCCTACTCAGCTAGGCTAGGCCTAGTTAGCCTAGGCCTATTATAGGTCTAGCCTAGGCCTAGCCTCCTCGGTCCCTTGACCCTGCCCTGGTTTAAAAAAGGAAGCACAATTGTTTTCAGTTAAGATAAAATACAATGAGTGGAATATGAGACAAAAAATAGGGCCTAAGCCTGTCGCTATATTTAGGCTATGCCATGGCTAGGTTAGGGACTGGGTAGGCCTAGATGCCCAGAGGACCTAGGCCTATGCAATAAAGAACGGTGTAGTGCCTAGGCCTAGCCTACTACGACGATTCCGCCCCGGGGAGAGTGATAGGCACTGACAGGAAGTTTCCTATAAATGCCGAAACATGGGTTTTAAGTATGTTTGATGAATGTTTTAATCAACTCAGATCCCAAAATAGAATAAATTCTAATGAACAACATAGGATTTACTTACTTTCAAGTCATTTTCTGGAAGATATTTACAATCTTTTGCAACTGTTATCCACCGTTCAACCGAACTTTGTTCAGCCATTTTTAATTTAAGATTTCTTATGTTTTAATGTTTATCTGTAGAGGGCGTTATTTATGTTAATTGTCTCTAAATTATTGTTGCACTATTTAATATGATGATGAGATGACTGATTCAGATGCAGATGATGATAATGATCAAGATAGTGATGAACATGATGTGACGACTATGATAAACGATGCTGTGATAATGATAATGAAGATGATGATGATGATAATGATGATGATGACAATTATGAAGATGATAATAAATAGTAAACTGATGATGGTGATAATTACAATGATGTTGATAACAACAGCGGTCACAAATCTCCCGGAAGTCGCTGGAGCATGTACATTTTACTACTTCATTATCAATTGTCTCACGAAAGTCAATGCCGATGGGTATCACCCCATACGCAGCAAATAAAATTTAATAATTACGTTAAGAAAGCTTATTAACCAGATATCCCTGATGAGTATTGTTTACAACTTGGGACATCCCTAAGATAATGATGGTGGTGGTGTGATGGTATGTTGATGCTAATGATCCATCGTACATTATATTGCGTTCCGTTGTATTATTAGGCAAATTTATTGATTTTAAGGGTTTCCCCCTCATTAATATAATCGCATGAGGATATGACCTTCGAATTATTACAATAGCCAAATAAAAAGCTATTTTGTAACACTTCTATCAGACTTTTACATTATAAACACTAGGCCTACAATCGATATAGTTAAAACTATTAGGTGCAAATTGAGTAGGCCTATACATAGACCTATACATTGGCCTATCTCATCAACATGGCTATTTTAAATAACATTTTCAATTTATTTTTTATCTGTTACTTATTTGCCGTTCTTTTAAATTCAGATTGTAATTTTCGAGTTCTTTTTCCTTATTTATTTTTCTTGGTGGAGATATAGCCTAGGCCTAACCTTTTAGGCCCTAAGTTTCTTGAAGGAAATTAAGGGATTTTCGTGGTGGTAAATAACGAACGTAAGTTATCAAATACACCCTTTCTGACCTTCCACTGCCGGGTGCCAACACTAATATAGAAATAATTAATATGTTTGCCTCGTAATTTCACTGTTCCCTGGTTTTAATCAACTTAATTTCGTCAATTTGCAAGACACGAGTCTACTTCAATCATAAAACTCAGTTACGGTTTGCATTAGGCCATTCAAACTTTATTCAAAAATTGCATTACTTTGTATAGAGTTTTTACAATTTCTGTTGCAATCTTGATACTGGTATATAGGCTATGTTTGCCAGGAAAAAAACATATAATTAAATTATTATAAATTTAAAAAAAAACGCTATATATATA